CCCCAAAACCCCAAAACCCCAAAACCCCAAAACCCCACCATTTTGCCTCAAATTGACACAAATTTTTAGTATGAATACTAACACAAGCAACATATTTAAGTCACTGCATAACATTGACACTCAAAATTTTGGGAATCGGAAGAAACACAGGAAAAAGATCATCACCCTTCCAAATAATAATCAGGCGTGGGATTTCACCAAGGATGTCAACGGTTTTGACTTTGAAGATGACTCTGAGCCACACAAATTTGAGAAACCTCACAAATTTGAGCACCATCAAGAAGATTTTCAAGAGAATTTTCCTCCTAGAAAGAACCATTTTAAAGAGATACAGCAGGAACAGACTTACTATCCAACTGAAGAGGCCAAGTCAAAGAGTCATTTCATCAACACTGAAAATTTTATCAAGCCAAAGAAGGCAAAGAAAGCACCCAATGAGACCTCAGGGGATTCTAAATTTGAGACATTTGACCAATTGATGCGAAAGGAAACGTCAAAATAGAAATCCAAGGGTTGGCAAGCAACAAGCTGTTGTTCCATCTCATGCAGAGCGTGCCTCATCAAATACAAACCCTGCTCCAGCTACTCCAAACTTTGCCCAGCCAGCTTCTGCTGCTCCAGACTCTAGATGGTACAAAGGATTTGCATGGGACACTGAAATTGACGAAATTAATCTAAATATCTTCGGAAATAGCTCATTTAGAGAAAAACAAAGAGAAGTCATTAATGCAACCAAGATGAAGAGGGATGTAATCGCCTTGATTCCCACCGGTGGTGGGAAAAGTCTCACATTCCAGCTCTCAGCCATCAGTGAAAAGGGTGTCACCATTGTCTTCATGCCCTTACTCAGTCTGATAAATGATCAAATCATGCAGATGCAAGAGATCGGAGTTCAGTGACAATTCCTTCAGAAGCCGAACGATATCATGGAGATTTACTCCATGATGGGAGAAAATGAGATCTCTAAGAAGATTCTTTTTATCACTCCTGAGAAGATCACCCAAAGTGGACAAGCCAAGAGCCTGATTGATTCCCTCTATAATGAAAGATTACTTGAAAGATTTGTGATTGACGAAGTTCACTGAGTCAGTTCTTGGGGACAAGATTTCAGACCAGATTACATGAAACTCTGCGCTCTCAAAGAGTCATACCCTGATATCCCGATTCTTGGTTTGACCGCCACAGCCACTAATCAAGTCAAGGCAGATATCAAAAAGATTCTGAAACTTGAAGATGTGCTCTACTTCCAAAGTTCTTTCAATAGGCCAAATTTATTCTACGAAATAAAGACTCTAAAGAAGGCAAAATGGGAGGAAGACATTGCTCAGGTATGCAAGGAGCACTGCAGCTTCTCTTCCAGAAAAGAGTCGGGAATAGTCTACTGTCTCAAGAAGAAGGAAACTGAATCTATAGCTAAATCTCTGAAGTCAAAGTACAAGATTAACTGTTCCTATTTCCACGCAGATCTTCCACTTGAGAAGAGGAATGAAGTTCAAAGAAAATGGATGAAAAATGAAATTCAAGTGATCATTGCCACGATCGCATTTGGAATGGGAATTAACAAATAAGGACGTCAGGTTTGTCATACACTGCGGGTTCCCCAAATCCATCGAGTCTTACATCCAGGAGTGTGGCCGAGCTGGTCGAGACTCTCTCCCTGCCAGATGCATCCTTTATTACAAGTAAGTCTGTAAGTAAGGAATTTTAGTTACGGAGATCGGAGACTCCAGGATTGGTTCATCATGAACAGCACTAAAAACACATGCAGTGATGTCAGGAAGGAAGAGAACCTGCATAACTTATACAAAATGATAGATTATCTTGAAGAGACTTTCCTCTGAAGAAGGAAATTACAGCTATTTTTCCTTGGTGAAAAATTCAAGACTAAAGGTAAGCCATCTCACTAATATTAGACTGAAAATAAGAATTGTGACAACTGTGCTAAAGATTACCGACTCAAAGAGATCAACGTGACAGTTGAGGCAAAGATTATCCTGGAGTTCATTCAGGAGGTAGATCAGCCCTTGGTCACCCTTATACAGTGCATTCCAATTCTACGTGGGAACAAGGTCAAAATCACGAATTATTTAGTAACAAAAGTTGCAGCTGGATATTCAGGAAAGTTGAAATAAGTTCAGTGCTGACCAAGTCAGGCGGATGATCATAAAAATGCTAATAATGAGAGTCCTAAGGGAGGAATTTATCGAGAATGAGCACTGTACAAATTCATATCTTCAGCTAGGCCCAAAATCCATGGATTTCGTTAACAATTTGATCCCCTTCTACATCACTGTTGGCAAAGCTAGAGCCAAAGAGAAAAAGCAGACAAAGATTGATGAATATGAAGAACAAGAGGAGATAGAAGTCAGCGATAATGATGCTGATTATGACTCAGACAATGTCTGCGAAAACTATGATCTCCAAGAGCCAGCCCCAGAGGAAGAGCCTGAGCAAGAAAAGCCAGATATCCAAGAGGAAAGTAATCTGAATGAACCCTCTGAATCTCCTAAGCAAGAATCTATGGTTAAGGATAAGATTAATAATTATAAGTAAGAGTTTATCAAAAATGATAAGTGAAGAGTGTTCTCCAATAGAGGAGCCTACTCCTGTTCATAACTCACAGTCTTATAAGTACTCTAATTCTGATTTGATTGCAATCGAGGAGCGTCTTAACAAAGGTATGCCTTTAAACTCATCTTACAGCATGATTGGAAATCCAAAAGAGATTCATGAACTCTCCAAATTCCAACCTCTACACCCAAATCTGCACCACCTTTAGTGCAAAATTGTGATCTAAAATCACAGAAAAGCTCAAATCCACCCAAATCCCACTCCAAACCCTCGTTTCCTCCTGTCACTCTCCCACAGACTCCTTCCTCAACTACTCCCACATCCTCGTATCCGAAATAAACCATTACACAAGAATTCAAAAATCGCTTCAAAGCCTCACTGTTTCTCTCGCACAAGAAGAAGTTTTCTCCATTAAGGACGAGGACATTTACTCTCAGCTTTCAGAGTTTGTTCTTGAAGAGACTCCTCGCCAGCCTCAGCCTATGTAAGTTCTTTCCTGATTCCTTCTAGCAAGGCTTTGCCTCAGGCGGAGCCCAAGTCAAAGCCTAAGCAGAAGAAGCCACTGAGGAAGCAGGCTACAGATTCTGAGCTGAGTGACTCTCTTAGTGAGTACTCTCAGAAATCATCGAAAAATTTCAAGTCTTTTGGATATGTACAGGCTGATAATGACAGGTCACTGCAGGAAATGGGCCAGTTTGGAGGAGTCAAGAAAGTGAAGAAGGGGAGGAAATTTGTTCCACCTTTTGGAAGAAAACGTAATTTCTAGAGTGCTCTTGAAGGTTTGAATGCAGTTTTTGGAAATAGGATTGGAAATTGAAGGATTTAAGTATAAATAGGCCATTTCAGCGATAAGATTTACTGTAGGGGTTTTGGGGTTTTGGGGTTTTGGGGTTTTGGGG